CACAAAAAAACATATTATTTTGTTTTCGAATAGAGCTTCCATGGTCGATAACAAAAAACCAAATTCCCAAATTTTTGTTTTTCTCAAATTTGTTACTTTTGTCCACTCATTTGTAATTTGAGGCCTTTAACCCTATAAGGCCATCCATATTGCATATAAAACGTGGATGTCTCTAAATAAAAAAATATTAAAAACACACTCTCTCTTCCTTTTACTCAATTTTATACCTTCTCTTTCATCCTTTTTACTCAACTTTTATTAATTTTATATTTAAACACATTCCAACTTTCATCCATTCTCTCTCCAACTTTGTCTTCCACGAGACATTCTCTCTCCAAAAATACCCACTATCTCCTCTCTTTCCTCAAAATTTATTAATTTTATATTTCAATACACTCCATTATTTCAACCAAAAACACTATTTTTCATCCTTTTACTCAACTTTTAATAATTTTATATTTAAAGACACCTACAAAATGTCTCCAATGTGGATGCTCTAAGGACGTTTGATGAACAGTTATTTTCCAATTATGTATTTATCAACTAGGTATAGGTATGTCCTCTACTACAACAAAATCTTCTTATTTTTTTTTTCTTTCAACCAAACATTAATTAAAATATATCACTATAATTGAAAATCTAATTAGGCGGAAAATTCCATAGATGTAAAACGTGCAGAGCGCATAAGAATTATTTAATGAAAATTGAGAAAATACAAACCAATACAAACATATGATAAATATTTAGAAGTTATTAATCGGATAGTTCGTTATCTATAGTCTATTATGTTTATATGACTGTCGATAACAATTATTTTAAATTTCTGATTACAGATGCCTAAAGGTGTTGTCCAAAGATCATAATTGACTTGGACATGAAAGAAAAGTGGAAGATATGGCATTTGCAATTAGTGGGGGAAAAAGTTCAATTCCCCCGTGAACTTCCGAGCTTCCGCTTATTCATACGTGATCTATTAAGTTAGATCAAAATCCCCCATGAACTTTATATAATTTTGAATTCCTCCATAATCTATTAAAATTTGGTGAATTTACACAAAACCGCAGACGGAATCTGTTTTCCGTTAACAGGTTGTGACGTGGATTACAAGTGGCTAACGGGGTTCGGTTCAGTTTTATGTTGACCAAAATCAATTGGTTTTTGACCGATTTGACGCAAAACGACGCCGTTTTGCATTTGGGGAAAACAAACAAATTAGGGTTTTGATTTCTCTTTGTCGAGAGAGATAGAGAAGAAGAAGCGGGCCGCATTGATTTCTCTTTCTCTTCTTGTTGTGGGAATCTAAAGGATCTAGATTTACTTACGAAATTTTTGTTTGCTTGATGGGTTTTGTAGTAATGATAATATTCATGAAAAAATTGTCATTTTCTTCAGAGGGAAGATATAAAGTTTCTTTTGTGCTGGCTCCGTGTTCTTAATATCAGACTGATTGTGTAGGATGTAAAGTCTTTGATCTTCCGGGTTGACAAATCACACTAATTGTTCAAAACTTCACAACGAATCGCCATTTAAGAGTTTCCTATGTCTCTTTCCAATTACTTTACTCATATCTAGACCAAAACTTCACAACGAATCGCCAAAAAAGTTTTGATTCCAATCCATATCACACTCTTTGCATTGGCTCTCTCTAACTACTTTCATTTTATATACTTTGTATAACAGTCGGACAGATTCTTCAACGCACTGAAAGGCCACGACGCTCTTTGCCGCCTTGTTATTCTTCCTCACGAGAGCCACGGGTACTCAGCACGCGAAAGCATTATGCACATTCTTTGGGAAACTGACCGCTGGCTTCAAAAATACTGTGTTCCAAACACATCAGATGCAGACACAAGTCCTGACCAGACAAAAGAAATTTCAGATTCTCCAGACAAAGTAGCGACTGCGACAGGAGGTGGTAATCCGGAGTTTGGTGAGCAAGAAGTTCACTCCAAGCTAAGGAGATCACTTCTCTGGTAATGTGTCTTACAATTCCCAAACAGAATACAAAACCACAAGTTTTTCTGACATTTGATTTGCTTCTTCAATTTGTTGAACATTCTGGTTATGCTTTTCGCAGAGCCTATATGCCGGTTCGGTCACCAAATACGGCATTTGAATGGACTTGCGGAAGAAACAGGGAACATAGTAATGGCAGATGCAAGACAAACTATTTTTTTATATTGAAACATTTCGATTCATAATAATGTGAANAAAAGTTGTTGAATACTTAAAATTCTTAAAGTTGAAACACTCTCTCTCAAAGTGCAATACTTCAATGAACAAGTTTCAACAATATTCACCTTTTGTAGTTTTTAAGACAACAAAATAAAACAAGTGAGATTATGTCTGAATCAACATTACATTTGAATCTTCTTTATGATCTAACAAAATCCCATTCTNGGATTTGTTTATTTCTCACAAAATACAAACGCATCTGAGAGTTATTAAGAAAACAGAGGAAAAACAAAAAAAAAAACAGAAATCGAAATCACCAGTCTTGAGGAACCAGTTTTCGAGTGGCTAGATTACTCTTCAGCAGCAACAACAGTGATCTCACCTCTCTCAAGCAAGTCGTAGAAAGCTCTTGTTTTCCTCTGTTCATTCCAATGGTGCTCTTCCAGAGACCACCAGCAGCTAAACCGAGTGCCAAACCGATAATCAAAACCCTGATTTTTTTTGTTTTCTCCAAATGCAAAACGGCGTCGTTTTGCGTCAAATCGGTCAAAAACCAATTGATTTTGGTCAACACAAAACCGAACCGAACCCGTTAGCCACCTGTAATCCACGTCACAACCTGTTAACGAAAAACAGATTCCGTCTGCTGTTTTGGGTAAATTTACCAAATTTTAATAGATTATGGGGGAAATTCAAAATTATATAAAGTTCATGGAAGTTTTGGCCTAGCTTAATAGATCACGTATGAATAAGCGGGAGCTCGGAAGTTCACGGGGGAATTGGCTTTTTTCCCGCAATTAGTGTATCTGCAATCAATTTTGGACTATTAGTAGTGTATTATAAACATAATTATTAATATTGTTCGTTTTTATATATCTTTTTTAACACATCTACTATATAAAAGAGCAATGACTCTCTCCATGAGCTTGACACGTCAGCTCTCCATGTGATGCCACATGACATTATTTTTTCCTTTTTCAGTTCACTTTCTTACCTTTCGTATTAAAAAACCCTTAGCCTTCCAAGCGCGGAATCACTTGCTCACGTTAGCACTCCCTCAATCTTTCAACGAAAACGAATGATGTTCATATATATGATTATTTCGCCACTCTTTTTACTGGAACCCAAACACCATGGCTCGGTTCTTAATTCATCTTATAGCTTCACGGTATGGGCGATTAAGGACTTGCAAACGAATCAAGACAACCATCAAATCTCTTCCACTTTCTATCTATGTGAATTGAGTGGCTAAGTCCATTGGTTATGGACCTATGGTTATGCAGTCCCTTTCATAAATCCAGACTCTTCGACCACTCACCACCGAGATGTAGGTACCGATTCTGGTCTCGGAATGTGGGAGGTTGATTTTGGTCTTATCGGAGAAATTATCGATGCCTCTATGATATATCGTCGCCTTTGTGGGTTGTCAATGATGATTGTTCACCAAAGGTAAATTGCTAAATTATTATGTTTTAACCGTAAAATTCCTTACATCCATCATCCAAAAAAATTTTGTTACATGGTTCCTTCATTAAGTGAACTTGGTGACAAGTTTTTTGTATCCATTGGTTTGATGTCTTCGACTCCTCAACTATCAAATCTAAATAAAAATCTACATACCGTAATTGCAGGGATTTCTGATGCATTGATGTGTGTCAAATTATATATTAACCTAAATTTAGCTAGCAACACACTCTAGTTGTTGTAGCACAGTATAGGGTCAAACCACAAGGAGTTGAGAATAGCACACTAAGAATGTAAGCAACTAGTTAATCTAAGCTAAATGATGTTTTTGGTTTTTTCAAAGTCCTAATTATGCAACTAAGTGAAAATGGCGAAATAAAAATGC